GGGTGGGGGTGTGCAGCCCGCTTCCCAAAACCCTTACCCTATTTATGACCAAAATCTGTGATATTCCCTACCCTATTTATGACCTGATCAAAAATTCAAAACCCTGTTTATGACCTAAACCTTAAATCAAAACCCTGTTTCAGAGCTGCGTTATAATTAGTTCCCTAGTTGAGGCCAATGTTAAATTACGGTAAACATAATTTGTGAAGGGCTTTTGTTGATTTTCTTTTTGATAATGATGAAAAAGTCACCATATCAAGGTTAAAGTGCAAAAACCATACCCTATTTATGACCAAAATGGCCAGAATCAGCTAAAATCAATGCCCTATTTATGACCAAAACAGCTGAAAAACCATACCCTACGGAACCGCACATACTGTACCTATATAGCCCATATGAGGGAGTACCCCCCCCCCCACCCCCCAGGGCTCACCAATTAGCCTACTCAGCCAACCTCAAACCATAGTAAAACCAAAACCCAAACCAAAGAAATTGCCTGATGTTACTTTCGACTCTCAGTTGGAAACCATTCTATCTGTGATATTAGTAAAACCTCTCATGCATACTGATACTCCCTGACATATTTATTTGATGGACAATGTTTTTCTTTATCGCTTTAATTTTTAGCTGGGATGAAATGGCCAAATATGAGCTCCCAGCTATGGTTAACTTCATTCTCAAGAAAACAGGGCAGTCATCGCTATACTACGCTGGCCATTCACAAGGAAGCCTTATGGCTTTTGCAGAGTTGTCAAGAAATCAGCTTTTGGCTAGCAAAATAAAGGCTGTGTTTGCTCTGGGACCTGTTGCTTACTTGGGTAACATGAAGAGTCCACTGAAGTATCTGTCAGATTACCTTCCAGAACTTGAGGTGTATATCATATTTTTACGAATTCATCTTCAAATGTTCTCCTCATGAAGCAGAGGTTTAGTGCTAAAGGATTTTTACTTGTTAATAGCTCAAGATACATACAGCTAACTGAAGGCAAAATCATTTGGTTACAAGACTTGTAGAGTTTTTGAGCCCACTTTTATTCTCTCTAGCATGAGCTTGAATACCACCCTTGTAGAGGTACTTGGCTTTGGAAATTAATAGAAATCATTGTTGGGCCATGTCTGTGTTTAGTGAATTGAAACTAAAACAAAGATGCTATAAGATGAATATGAATTATTTTTCACTCTGTTGTTGCTGTTGTTTGTAGGATATTTTCAAAATATTTGGAGTACGCGACTTCCTTCCCTCTGATGAAATTTTGCATTGGATGGCAACACATGTTTGCGGGCCAGATGATCTACGAGTGTTTTGTTCCAGTGTGATATTTCTTATATCTGGATTTGATGTCCCGCAGTTAAACATGGTAAGTTATTGCTGCTAACATGTACATGTAGTTCCTATCTGGCACTCTTTTGTTTTGTTGCCAGATCAAGAAGTGCAATCTCTTTGTATTTCCCAAAGCAAAGGAATGACCATGGTAACATATGTCTCTGTAGACCCGACTTCCTGTGTATATAGCTCATACTCCTGCTGGGACATCAGTGAAGAATATGGCACACTTTGCTCAGGTATGACTCAGACATTTTTGTTTTCAAGTTTAACTTAGTAATAATATGTAAATTATCAACATGATGGAATATATTTCTTTGTTGACCATGGGTCTGAAGGGTTGGAAGAGAACACCTAAGGAGAAACTTCATTTACAGCACAAGATTTTAGCCTATTGTAATAACTTCTAGTTTTCCAGCTTTTTTCCAACCTGGTCTGATCTGACACCATGATTTTGCTTATTTTTCAACTCAATTAGTACATGGTCAGGCCCAGGTTGTTCAAAAGTTGGATAATGCTATCCACTGGATAAGTCACTATCCAACGGATAGCATGGTTTGTTTTGTTAACACTTATCTGCTGGATAGCAGTTTATCTGGTGGATATGGTGTGATCCAGTCTTCGAACAATTGGGGTCAGTACCAAAAAATAAACAGGCTGGGTTGATTTCAGGGAAAGGAAAACAGAAATCAGTTGAAATAGCATGGAGTTCAAAAAAGCCAATAGTAAATGACTCAAACAACAAGGGCAAATCCAAAGGAAATGAGTTTGAGTTTGAAATAATGGGGAATTAGAAAAATCAAGTTTGAATTAGAGGTGTCCAACAGTATTATGTAGTGTAATGTGACTAGACATAATGAGATCAAGCTACCTCCCTTTCTCAGCTGATCATGATGGGATGATGACTGACTGTTGGTTAATCTCCCAGCATAATTGTGTAATTGAAAAGTTAGTAGTGGTTTTCAATTGAGTGTCATGAAACCAAGACCAGAATCAATTGCTTACCAATTAGACAACTTGGCCAATCTCAAACCATAGTAAAATGAAAACCAAAACCAACACCAAAGTAGATGCCTGGTTACTTTCGACACTGGATGGAAAATGGCTTTAAACTAACATATCAATATTCCTTGGTGGGGATATGGATGCTTTGTGAGAGTAAGATGTCTTTCCCAGGAATGCAGAATGTTGTCACTGCACAGTCTCCCACTGTATAGGCTGGCCTTTGTCTTTAATTTCATTAAATTTTATATGACTGTACTGTAGATGCGAATTGTTTACATGTATGTAAGATTTGTATGTCTGCTGGGTAGTGGAGGTGGTGGTGTCAAAAATGAATTTCTCCTTCTTGTGCTTGTTTCACTGTATAGTTGTACAAGTCCAAGAAGTTCCAAATGTATGACTATGGCAGTCCTGAGAAGAACAAGGAACATTATGGCAATGTAAGTGTTGAGATCACACTTTTACAAACATCTCTCTTGGCAGCACTTATCCTGTTATTTTGTATCCAGCAGGATCAGTTTCTACAAATAATTTGGTCCTTGCCATTGATATCTTTTTACGGGAATCCTGGTTGGCTTTAACAGCCTAGATTTTATTCTGTCAGCTTGGGTAGTCATTCTTCAAATTGCATTCATAACACATGACTAAAGGCATCTTCTCTTTAGTGTCAGTTGCTGTTAGCTGAACTCAGGGCTACCTCTCTTCTCCTTTTCTTGAAGCACATTAATTTTGATAATTGCCATTGATTTCTTCTAGACCACTGTTCCACAGTACAATGCATCAGCTGTCAGCGTACCTGTTGCACTTTACTGGGGAGGAAATGATTGGCTAGCAGACCCTGACGATGTGAAGATTTTAATGCAAAAGCTTCCTAACAAGTGGTATAACAAATACATTAAAGCATGGGAACATTTGGACTTCATTTGGGGTTTGGATGCAGGGCCACTTGTCTATGATGACGTCGTTAATAGGATTATCAAAATTGAAAATGGATCATGACCTGCACACTGGGAGTCTAAACAGATGAAGAAATCTTACTGTGCCTTCATATTGAACATGCAAACTCAGAAGTTATAACTTATCGTACAAATTATTTTACACTGCTGTCAATATTTATCTTGGCCAAGGTCTCCAGAAAGGGAAGTTTATTTCAGCTGGCATCAAGAGGCTATGTCCTTTAGGTGTTGGATGTTGTTGTAAGTTAATCATGTATGAGAGCAGCTCGTTGGTAGTTGAGTTTATAACTTTTGAGTTCATGTGTTGTTGAAAGGTGCAGCAATGAAGATGTAACAATGGTATTGTTAAAATGGAAAAGGAACTAGGATCATCCTGGAAATGCATACAAATGTGGGAATTTTTTACAAGCTTACAAATATAATCGTACCTTAATGTACATTTTTTTTTTAGGAGAGTAAATTTTGTTTTAAAAGCAACTGGAAAACAGGGTGATTTGTGAAAATTTATTTGCAATTAAATTGTACTCACTTTCAGTGTTTTGATTTAAGCATGTACTAAGGAGAAAGTAGCAATATTTTATAAGGTACACCATAAAGTTACATTTAAAAAAAAAACATTCTAAAGAAAAAGAGAATTAGTGAATCCAATTTTTCGAACTACCTAGGCCAACGGAAATTGGAAAAATCAGGGGTAATTTTGTCATAACCCATTTGCAAAATAAACTTATGGAGGAAAAAAAAAATATTAGAATGATTGGTAGGTTTGAAAAATTGGGATTCCACTGTACCTCAAAATAGCAGTAAGGTATTCTATTTTGTTGAGGAAGAAAGCAGGGGGGGAGCAGAAGATCATATCAGATTATCTCCAAGAGAAAATTAATATGGTTATTCAAAGGAAACCAACCCCCACAGAAGTGTCTTTTGTAAAGGTTGGTTTCCATGTTGATGAACTCCCCTCAGCATAATTTACACTGCTCTTTCAAGTCCAGCCTTGTTCCTCCTCATTTGGAAGAGGAGTACAGGCTCCTTTCCTGAACAGAGGTTGTAATCCAGTCTATAAATCTCTGGAGAGTCAAGCAGCTTTCTTGTGGCTTGGTTAATATCCACCACTATTCACACTCACTTCAGTGAATTATGGAATTGTGAAAATTTCCTCGACTTGGCAATGATTCTAGTTATGGAGCAAGACCATAGGCACTTTTTCTTTATGAATGAGACAAACAGAAATGGGAACATCTGTTTTAATATAATTATGTGAATTATAGTCAGACTTATGTGAAGTGTGATTTGATCTGTGTTGTCTGATGAAGAGGAAACACGCTAGTCTCTCCAGTTTTGTTCTAGAAGGTATAAAATAATGACAGCAATTGATAATTATAATAATTTATAAGGTGCAGATTTCCATATTTTTAAGTTGTAGAAAATACAATGCTCTCTTATGTTTATTTATCAGTTGTAGTAGTTTTATGCTTTTGATATTCATTTTCAAATGTAGTAGTTTTCTCTGCTTTATAATCAACCAGCACATTGTGAATAAAACTACACAATAACTGCAATCGTGATGGATCACGCCACAACATTCAAGTAACACCACACAAGTAGCATGCCTCCCTCTTGGCCCAAATCAAGTGTAACTATTTAGTGTTAAAGTGGTTTTCCAGGCTTCACTGCTTGGTGGCTAATAATGCCAGATACATTGAGAAATACTAAGGACATCAGGCTTCTAAGAGTCTAGGGTTCCTTCCTTAAAGTGACAAATTCTGATAATTTCAGCTGGAAATGAAATGAAACGGTTTAATATTATCTGGCCAGTAAATGTCTGGAAAGAAAGGAGCATCCTTGAAGGTAGTGCACTTTGCCTTGTCAGACTTGTTAGTCCAAAACTTACCATCCACCTTTGACAAAGTAGTTGGTTGCCCCTCTTTTCATTTCTCTCCATTAGAATTTTATATAGGCTTGATGACCAGCCACTGCTCGAAAAAGAAGCCTGTGCACCTCTTCCGAACTCGCATAGACTGGGCGGTGGAAATTGAGCTTAACTTTTACAGGGATATTGGGGATAGGAATGCAAAATCGTGTTTGACCAACCAGTTGGTCCAACTGAACAAATAACATGCACTCAAGGTTAACAACAACGTACGGACTGTTTCCTCAGGCAAGTTTGATTCCATACTTAAGGGACACAAATATTTCACAAGGTGAATTTTATTCAAGGGGCAACAGACCCAAGTTATGACTACAAAGTGCTGAAATGACTTTTTCCTCAAGAAGGTCCTTTCTGGTTACAGCTTTTTTGTACATGCACTGACAGTTCAGAAAGCGTTTGAACTTCTAAGTGGTCTTCTAATGAATAATTATGGTATGACGACAATCACAGAAATCAAGCATTCAATATTATCAGAAATGTCTATGTCAAGTGAAATCAGCCAATCAGAACTCTCGAGTAAAAGTATGTAAATTGGCAGACACAAGGAAAAGATCCAAGCTCAGTGTGCAAAGAAAACCAATTTTCTGATGCACTAGCCCATAAGTCATTCTCAGAGGCTCCCAAAATATTATTTCTTACTTCGCACTTGTTCCTTACTGAAAATGTCTTCTTGATAATATTATTGGGAAAACAAACGATAGAATCCACTAACCTGAATGAAAAATTGACTCACCCTGGTCTATCAGACATGACTTTCTTTGCACAATGCAGTTGCACTGCACTGCACTGCAAGAGCTACGAGTACCAGTTATAGAGTTCATCTAATGTTAAGCCTTAAACTGGAGATTTTTCAAGTTAATCTTCCAGTGAGTTGCTATTGCATCAGGCAAAACAGTTATAAAAACAGGGTTCATACTATCATTCCAGGAGTTTTCAATGGTATAAACAAAAACAAAAAAAGGACCCAAAGTTGGGAATTTCACTTCAATTTCTTTGACACAAGTTACTCAGTCAAAGTGTATGTAAAGAAATCTTTTCATAACTTTCTTATTCGCTTTTTTTGTGAAAAAATCTCCAACTAACATTAATAGATAAATTCAAGGAGTTTTCCAGGAGTTGATGCCAAAATTGAATTTTCACAGCATTTTCTAGGGCCCAGGAAAAACCTTTCAAAAATCCAGGAGTTTCCAGGAGTAGTTTGAATCCTGTCAAAATAGCAAGAACAACGTGATGAACCATGGAAGGATGCTTGATATGCTGAGTTTGTAGTCATACCAAATGAATTCTGAATGAACTTTGTAAGAAATCTAAAACAGAAAGACCTGAAAGAAATTCTACCATGAAAAGATCTTTCAAGGATTAAAAAAAAAACCTGTTCTATGTACATCACTTTACTTGTCCTCGTCATTACAACAATATTTGTCCTTCGATAAAAGACAAGTGTTTTAGAAATTCAGTATCTCGAAGATGCATTTCAACATCTGCACTTCACTATGAACGGCTAGCTTCAGTGATAATTCAATTTTTTTGTCTTCAATTTCATAACAAAACGTCACCAGGAACCCCATTGAGTGAATTCTGATGCTACTTTCAAATTTACAACTCCCCAGTAAATAGGCTGTACTATTAGTGTTACATTCATAAAACTACACCAACCCCAGTTCCTAACTTTATGAAAAGTGAGTGAACAGCGAAACAGTCCAACCACGAACAAAAGAAAAATAAACAAACTGGCTGCAATTCAATGCAAGTTCAACTGAGCATCACTTTCAACTCTAGTTTAAATTGATGTAGTTCAAGTCAACATACTTGTAGTGTGTGAAAGTGAATGTCTGTTTGCCTGTTACACTACACCTCAGATAAGGCAATTTTGCAGAATATACAGTAGATGCATTGCAAGTGTTTCTTGTCTATGCTCACACTAGCCCGTAAGCAGGCTCCTGTGTGTTGCGGCGCAAGCAAAGGCAGAGCCGCAAGAGACAAGTTGGAGGGTGAAGAGACTCGTGCCTTGCAGCTTTGCTTTGCTTAAGTGCAGCGTATAAGAGCCTGCGAGCTATGCTCATACAACATTAACTGACTCATGCCAATTCTTTATGACTAAAGAAAAACTCTTCATATACAAAGATATTCCAGCGTACACTGTGTCGAGAATACTACACTTGTTCAACAATAAACCAGCCTGCTGAGTAAGGGATTTCCACTTTCAGCAGGCCAAGTAATTATTAAAATATTTTACACAGATCATCATCTATAACATACAAATTTAACAACATTACAAACAAAAAACATTGGCTACAAATCAGCAAATCTAGCCTGGTCCATTTACTAGACTTGTCTGTGATTCCACTAACTCCTTTAAGGGTGACCTGAAACAATGAAAAAAGGTGCTAAAAAATGAGAAATACAGCACAATGTGACATTTGTTCTCACTGGTTGGCTAGTGGCACAACACAAAGAGTACTCTTGCTGATTAACCTCCTCTCAACAGTGGACCAGATGGCCATCACAGTGAACTCTTAGAGAATGCCACACCATTTCTCACCACTCTCTACAAAATAACTTCCTTCTCCACTGTATAAACATGCACACAACCGAGAATCCCTCACTTTACTCTGATGAAGGGTTAGTGATTGAAACATCAACCTTGCAAACTCACTACAGTGGTTAATATACTTTATCAACTTCAACTTGATAACTAGCAAAGTCTCACATGCATGCTGGTGCAGAACAACAGTTTCTTTCAAAATTAACCTTTGGTCATGGAATCTGAATACCGGTACATCAAATTGATTGTACACTATTTTAGCAATAGGCTACATATTTTTATGTGAATTGGTTCAATAAATCAGCCAAGATGTGACATGCAGGAACACATACAATTTGCAAGCCACTGATATAGTTTTAGCTCCATTAGATGCATAAAGACTCAAGTACATGTAACTATGGTGCCCTTGGTTTGTTTACCATCATTCTAATATCCCACCTAAAAAGAATTGAAGGAAGTAGACCATACAAGTAACCTCACATGCTATTAATCAGAGGAATTACTGGTAGTTACAGTTACCAAGAACACAACCAATGTCAATGGTGATCTTGTGAAAATACTACAATTGTCAACTTATCATCATAAATCTGGACCAGTTACCTTGTATCTTGATCCAATTTAGTTTTCTTTGTTAAGCCCTGATTTCCCGGTTCTTTAGTGAAGTCCACAGGGCCATTATCCATTTTTGTACTCGACATTGTATCTTTGTGAACATTATTCAAGGGCTACAAAAACAGACACAAAAGGTCTTATTTTAAAAAGCCAAATAGCCCAGAAAATTAAGGTCCAAGTAAAACAATTCTATATTCTTATAAGACAACTACACTCAAGCAATGTTTCAGGTGACACTCTGCCTCCAAGAGCTAATACTCTTCAAGAGCACACAGTTCAGCTTTAGTACATCCTAATAATTTAGTGTACAATATTCTGTAATAATAACTATTGTCTCTCAGTTACTATATATGCTGTGATTTGTCAATTTAGCATGTCATGTTCCACGTCTCGATTAGTTAAAGGCATAAACTCACCATAACTCCACTATCTGCAGACTCTCCTTCCGTTACACCTATGTCTGTCAACCTAATGGGAGTCAAAAGAATTTAATATGTGACGTGTTTATACTGTGTCAAGGTGTTTGCAAGATAAAAGTCATCAATATCTTTGCATCATGCAGGCTTCCTTTCAACCATTCTATGGGTTTGCACATCTTCATCTCTAGGAAAGTGGAGTGGACTGAGTGACATAACTGACAATGTTATTGACAAACAATAGCTCATAACTTGATTTGTTTTGTTATTGCGGTGTTTTGAGTTTGGGTTAAAACTAACCTTCCCCTATCAAGAGGAATAAGACTTATTTATTAGCACCTTTCATGTCATTTTAGCCTGCATTAAATGCAATAAATTTCATTGGCTTGTGGGGCCACACATTTGAAACAACTACAGTCAGTTGAACTAATGATGAAAACTAATGAAATTGATGAACTAAACCCAGGCTTTATGCAACTCTCCTGTGATTCTTTGTCAACTACTACCAAATAAATTTATGTTTATCTCACCTTGAAAATGCCTCCTCACATCTCACACTAGGTGTTTCATCATCTGAGATATCATCGTCACTATCATCTGTTGCTAATGGAGCTGAACTGTCACTTGCTCGACCCTCACACCTGCATATAAATGAACAGTACACCTCTCAGCTTGGCAGAATTGAGTGTTATTATACTTACTACAACAGAGCTTGACTTTCAGGAAAAAACCTTGGGGCCAGCTGGCTCCTAAGTGTTAAGATTTAGTCGCCAGCACAAGTATTTCAGTCAAAAGAAGAAAAAAATTCGGTGGCACTGGCAACCCCAGTGGTTACAACATCAAGCTAGACTGTAAAATACCACGCCAAAAGTTTACAAATTCCTGCTGATTCATCGTATAGTTCTTAAGATTTGACACTTGTCAGTCTTGCACATTAATTGCTGGATAACACATTTAAGAGGTTTTAAACAATGTCCAAATAAAGAGCTGTAGAGCTCTATAACAGCCACAGCTACCAGCCTATGTCACTGCCTCAAAGAGAACTTGTTAGACTGAAAGTAATTTTGAAAATGTACCAGCAAGAAAAGCCAGGTAACTTTTGTTTTTCTTTAATGCAATAAATATCAATTATTATTATTATTATTATTATTATTATTATTATTATTATTATTATTATTATTATTATTATTATTATTATTATTATTATTATTATTATTATTATTATTATTATTATTACAACACCTTGCTAACCTGTACAGTGCTGCTCTATCAACCACAGGTGAGTGCTTTGCCTTGTCTGTAGATTTGCCTTCAGTTTCGGTAGCTACTCCAAGAGCCTCGGCACTGGATACCAGGCCCTGTGTTCTATTCAAGGGGGTGAAAAGTTGCATGGTTGGCAAATGGACAAAAAGAAAGGCAGACAGAAACAACTAGCTAGCAATGGAAGAATATGCTTCTGTCTTAAATGCCCCCCACCTCCTCCCCCACTTCTGAAATAATTATAGGCCACTTAGCAACCTTCTTGCCCTCACTTAACATAAAATCAATCAGAAATTTGTTAGAGCTTCAACGCATACCTTGACTCATCCTGTTTGTCTGGGTTGGACTTATCCTTGACAACTACAAGAAAACAACAAAAGAGCAAGTGTTAGCTGGAAGCAAAGAAGTTAAAGAAATTGCTGACTTTGGAAGGTTTGATCCTACAACCTTGAACGGATCTACTACAAAACTGATCGGTCACTCTAATTAACAATGACCAAGTTATGACAATTGTCACACCAAGAGCACTAGAGGAACATTTCACGTAAAGAGACAACAACGTAATATTATGCATTCAAGTGAAATGATAAAGAGGTGAAGACCTTGTGTCAGTAATAGTTCCTCTTAGGCCCAAGCAACAAAATCAAAAATTATTCTTAACACACGGATGAAAATACAGTAGTTCACTCACTGTATGCTGCTCCAGCTTGTGAAGCAGGAGGTGATGGCTCTGTTTCCATGGCAACTGGAGGATCCCCTGCGTCCTCTGATGGTTGACTGATGATAACACAAGTCAGCACAGTCAAGTTGAGAGCACGGAAAAATTGATGTTTTTTGGTATGTATGAAGAAGCAAAATGCTAAAATTATGTCCACCAAGGACAGTTAATAAGACAGTGTTGGATGAGTTAATTATACTTGCACACAAAATAAAAGGCAAATATTCCACACTTCTAGAACTACATAATTCTGTCAAGGGATAAAAAATTATTTTCAATACGCTTTTCTTAAAAGCCACATGTAGTATCACAACAGCTTGTTCAAGACCCAAGTAGTCAAGGGTACTTATTACGTGCCAATTTGAAAGACAATGTACAAACCTGCTGGGAGCCATTCTTATGTCAGTAAAACTATCAAATGTGGCCCATCCTGTGTCTGTTGTTGCTGCAGGAGTCTCTCCCCAGCCAACATCTGATGCATCCATAGACACGGCTTCATCTACTGCTACTTCCTCTGGTTCAAATGCAAGGGACCATGCTGGAAAACAAATCAAACATATGTTTTGCTTTAAATCTGGTTTTGATGTTATGCACTGCCATGACAACCATTTTAAACCTCCACACAAAACTTCTTTTATTAGTTAATTTTCTACAGTTCACCTCGACTACCTGTAACTATGCAACTTGTCATTATTCTTTACTTTCTCAGTGAATTTAAAGGATCATTGACAAAATAAATAAATATTTCTACCATGTACATTCAAGAGAACATTTTCAAATGTGCCTTGTAATAATTATCTCAGAATATTACTCAACAATGGTAACTGTTATTACTGCAGACTTCCAGGCTATGTTAAAAAATGGTTTCACCAAATAAGAAAATCTGTTCTATTCAATTGTAACATGGATGGCAAGACTGAATGTTGCTGAATGTATGACAAATATCAGGATACTTTACCCAGCAAAATGTTAAAATAAGTTACTAACTAGTTAACTAAAAAATTGTTTCATCTCCAACTGGCATCAACTTTAGATATCATTATTGTCACGATCAGTAAAATTTACATGAATGAGACCTTGTGCATTTTCACCTGTAGCCATGTTACCCACAGCTGCAGTAAACTTGTTACACTGTGGGTGAATCCTATCAACAACAGGCAATTTCTCCAGTTGCATCAAGGGAAAATCAAGCATACTCAGCCATAACAGGTGTTATGGGTTACAGCCCTTAATGACAGCCCTCAGCACCCTGTAAGGGACTATAATTAATCATTACATACCATCTGTAGGATCTACTTCCATTTTGTTGTCTGCAGCTGGAGGAGGTTGCTTTACTGGAGATCCCTGGGGGCTGCTGCCATTCTTATATGGGACATTGGGGGCTTTACCACCAGGTGACTCCAGATCATCATCACTTTCGCTACTCTCACTGTCACTTTCTCCTTCAGGTGACAGGGTACTAAAGTAAAAGTTAAAGTTAGGAATCATGTTTGCATTCCCAGTAATGAAGCTATGTAATTAATATGAGTACCGATATATAATTATACTGTGAGGTGAAACAACTTGCATTACTTTACAAACCTTTGCCTTGATTCTGCAATGGATGAAAATGTGAGTTCCTTTTCCTCCCAAATATCCTAAAAGAAGGAATAAAAGTTTCATTTCATCGGCCCTGACATGCTGATTTAACAAAGTATTTGTTATCATAATATTAATTATAAGGATACAATGTAGTTTGTTTAAACAAAAACAACATCACACTTTCAACTATTCTGTTAAACACCAACATGTATGTAATAGATACAGATAACTACATCTGACCTCATCAACTGATACAACCTATTTAAAAATAAACATTTTTTTATAATACTCATACATCTAATAACTCAATTTTCCACCATGTGCTAAGAAACTATGGATTAAGTGATGCTTTGGGCCACTCTTATATTTAGAAAACAACACTTTCAGTTACTTGCCATTGTGAAATTGGACTTTCAAGGGCATCAACATGCAAGTGGGATATAATTCAAAGCTAGTTCATTGGCAAATGATGAATAACTCTGGAATTAGCACTTACTTCTTCATCACTTCCACTGTCGTCAAATTGTTGAATTTTCTCATTACAACAAGCCTCAAATAGGGCAGTGTTGGGCTGTACAGAAAAGAGGAATCAAGCTCTCGGTAAATCAACTACATGGGATCCAATGGACAAGATAAATAAAACAAGATAAAATATTAACATAATTATGTGATACAAAAATTCCAAAATAAGCTCTCAATTGCAGTAATAACACTAAAGAATGACCCAAACATACATTATCCTCATGGGCATTCATCCTAAAACTGAGGTCTCCAATTCTGTCAAATGGCCCACTGCAACAGAGTTCACAGAAAGGTAATAGGATATTAGACAATGTCAACTCAGAAATAGTAAGTCAATCTTTGATGCACAATTTTGCAAACCACTATTGAAGGAAAATACTAACCTAATTGAGTCATCTGGTTCTTGAAACTCATCTTCATCAAGGCCAAATGTGTCCATGAATTCTGTTGTTATCTGTTGCACTTGATACCGTGAAAATGCCTACAGGTGAAGCAACAATCAGTTAACTTTCTATTATTGTCCAGGCAACATTTCAAGTACAATGTTACAATACAATAATACAGTATTATAAAATGTTTCCCCTGGACCGTGCAAGATCCTGTAAAATAAATATCATATTGGGCAGGAATAAAGGGACAAATGAAATAGATTTTTGATGGCCCCTTTAACAATAATTATTGCAAGTTCACAATGAAAACTGTTTAACTCCTACAATTATCAGTTGAGTAAGGTGTGAAGAAAGTTTGGTTTCATTGTATTTTATACCTGTTGAAGTGAGCTCTCTGTATGCAAGAAGGAGATAGGCTTGAAGTCATCTTCATCATCTGAAGAAGACTGAAAATGATGACCAACCTAAAAATGATGAAGAATAGACAGCTTTAGACAAAAAATAGTAACTTACCAGTAATGTTTACGTAATCATAAAAAGTTAACTCAGCAGTTTTTACAAAGGGCACATTATACATGCTTTTGTAAATTTAAGGTAAATTGTACTGTATAAAAACAGTACTTCAATCGTGAACCAAAGTCCTTGGGACACTGATGTAATACTTAACAATTAGACCCATAGCCCACAAGGGCCACGGGTCAATAGCCCATGAAGCCAAGCCGAATGAGCTATTGACCCATGGCCCTTGAGGGCAAAGGGTCTAATTGTTTTAGTATCACCCAACTAGTTGGACAGAAAAGGCAACAATAAAGTTAGCAAATGCAAGTTGAAGAAATATTTATTTGGGAATAAAACGAAAGAAAGCGTCACGCTCAATTGTGCCAATTTCGCTACTCGAGGACTATTACTAATAGTCCTCTAGTAGCGTAGCCAATTAGAATGCAGGATTTGCATTAGTCCACTAGTTGGGTTATACTAAAACAAATTATCTGTGTTTTACAACTGAAGTTAAGAAAAGCACTGCTATCCTGTTAAAACGAGTCGCTGTTCCCTCTCCCAATACAATGTTGAACCTCAAGAGAAATTGCAGGTACTATGTATGTGGAGAGGGAAGAGAGGCTAGGCAGGTGTATATGTATTCACGCCTGGCATGTGTAGAAAAGCACCAAATGTGCATATTTTGTCCAAAGACTTTTGTCCATGATTGCAGGTAGTTAACCCAGCCTCACTCTCATTTTGTTTTTCCATGTTTTGCAACTCACCAGTTCAGATAAGTTTTGTTTGTTGACATCTGCTAACTTTCCACTCACAAATGCATTCCATCTTTCACGAACATTCTCTGGCAAGTCTGAAATTTTAACAATAACAAAATGGAATGGCTGTAACTGACCTAATACCAGTTACCAGTAACACAGGACTTCAGGCACAGTTGTCCATGCTCATGTAGTCTGGTCTGGATTGTGCATCCAGCAGTTCAACATGTGAACTGTGTCTTTAGGAAACAGGTGAATCATTGCCATGAGTCAAGGAAATGCTGCATTCAATCAGACATTAATTTTAGTTGATCACAGCTTTCAAGTGGCAATCCATCAGCCCTCAATTTTGTTAAAACTTCAAATCATGTCAGAGCATTTTGCGCTAAGGCTGCCATGCCACTGTGGACCCCAATCAAAATAGCGAGTTTTTAAAAGGCTGATTTGCCATCCAAAGGAGAATAAACAAGTCTTTAATAAGTTAAGGACTTGCTTTCAACAAGCTGTGATTTATATAAAAAGCAGTCCTATGCCCCACTGGGGGCTACATGGAGTGCTGATGATGATAACCAATGAAATAACAAGTGAGCTTTCGCACAAAAACATTATACTATGATTATCAGTTGAGTCAGGCGAGACGAAAGTTTGGTCACCAAGTTTTCATGTAAAAATCTTGTTGTCGTCACGGGCAACTGGCTCCGTATCTATTGGTAACTTGTCGGCCTTTGACGTCATTGGCAGCAAACTGCGCAAAATTGTAGGCGACACGACAGGCAACCAATGGCTGTTGAAATTGTTACCAATGGAAACGAGGTAAGTTACCCGTGACAACACCATAATTTTAAGGCCAAAACTTCGTAACCAAACTTCCCTCATGCCTTACTCAACTGATAATCGTAGTATCTTCACACGTGGAAATTACATGTTATCTTCACATGTGAAAAGATCACTGTTACTATGGTTACATATTAATAAATGGCACCTTTCAAAACCAAAGTGAAATGGGTTGGGATTTCATTGGTGTTTAAACAATAAATAGAACATTACATTGCCACTTGGAGATATGAAATTTCCCTTCTTGTGTTAAAAAAATATTTCTCTCGTTTGCTGTGCTCACTTGTGAAATGTTCTTCAACAGTGTGAGAGAAATTTTGTATTGCCACGAGGCCATGTAATGTCCTCTATGTATTAATGCATTAAACCATTGACTAAGGTGTTTGTATACCAATTGATGGAAATGTTGCATAACAAGTATGTATTTAATACTCACCAGAAAATGTTGCATCAAGAGCAGCTTTGTTTTTGCCTTTCTCTACACTTTGAACAATACTGTTTGCCACATTTGTCAAATGGCCCATGTATCCTTTCCGTTTGCTGGTCAGCCCTCTAGATAGCAAAACAAGAAGACAGTTTTCAATTCCACCACATTTTTTTTTTTGGCAAATAAGTAACATATGGCCATAGATTGGGTATTTGCATCACAGTTCGTATTTAGGAACACAGGCCTGCAATGAACATCAAGGGCTATGAATCATTCTAAAAATAATTTGTGAGGTCTCCAATCACTCAGAAGTCTAAACATTTTATATTTGCCCATGTTCCCAATTTATTGAAAATGTTACCCCTCTTTTCCACTGACCACAGGGACCTTTATTTGTATTGAAAAGAAAGTCAGACAATAATGCTGGACTGTATAGCCTTGCTGATTCAATTTTACAGAAGATGAGAGTTCCAACAATGACAACCAGTGCGGCCTTCTGATATTGTTAGGAGCTGAAAATACTTAGCAATATTTGGAACCTTCCCACTTACGTTTCTGAATCAAGATCATCCCATTCCTGGAGTATCCTTTGTATAATTTGACAATCTTTAAATAACTGTGTACAAAAAAAAAAACAGAAAAACGATACACTCAATAATACAAAACATGATCAGTTCCACTAGCTAGTAACACATGCAGTTTAACAGACACAATCCTAAAGAAACCTCAGCTACAATTTAAGCAAAGTGTCTAGGGGAAACTTACAACATCGACTAAAGGAGTAGACTGTTCACCATCTTCTTCAGTTGGGGGATTGTTTAAAACTGTGGTTATACACTTCTCCACTTGAGTATGGAGAAAATTATTCCATGAATACTTGAAAAATAACTCCTGTAAATCAAATTTAAAACAAAATGTCAGCAGACTTGCATGATCCTGGCCTCTGGTAAAAACAGAAGGCTGTTTCAAAACTAGTTGAGAATACATGTAAGCTCTTTCAAAACTAATAGCTCTGCATAAGATTGATTTAGAAAATCAATTTATGAGTGTCAAAAACAACAGTATCAAAAACAACACTAATAATCCTACATAGGAATAATGGCAAATGCCAAACATCACCAAACAAATCGCCAAACATTTATTTGGGTAATTTATAGTACTGGTAACAGCAATGGTAAAATGGAGGGGGGAAAGTAGATTGGAGCTGTACTACTAAAAAGTACTACAATGTATTTTTTGTACTAGAGCACATGGTGAAGCTGTTCAGAGATTTTGAATTACATTTACTGTGTACTTGATGTAATAACCATTTTGTTAGGTTGAAAAATAAAAATGTTTGGAACAAAGTAACACAGATGTTAGATTTGGGGAAGAGAGATCAACACTAGAAATTTTAGAGCTTACTAAACTGAAATGAAGCCATCCATGACATATAATGCAATGCCTCTCTTGTAAATTGTATTTTGATTTGGATACCTACCCATAAAACTTGAAGAGTTCCTAAGTTAGCTAGTTCAGCATTTATTGTATCACTATTAGTGGCTAATATGGCAGCAATCAACTTGGAGGCTTGAAGACGAGCATTGCCAAGGGGAGGGTCTAGAGTTCCTATTGTCGTTAGCATTGGCTTCATCTGACAAGGAAACAAAAACAATGAAAGACGGTTAACACCAGCTTGCAAGAAAACATTTAAAGTTTTTAGTGCAGCACTTGCCCCCTGCCCCCCTGCCCCAACCCCCATTATTTGATTTTAAAAAAAAGCAAGTTCTGATCTCTGAGCAACCCTGTAACACAGCCACCTTTTGAATTCAGCCAGATTTTTCTGGTCATCCTGGGTCCATTTGAACATTTTTAGCAGAGATCAATGTACCACATACAAAGAAACAGGACCACAGAGCAGTAAATGGTTCACAAAATGGCTCTTAATCATTCAACAATGATTAATAACATATTAAAGACAAAAAGGTCATGGCTTACTGGAGGTGGATCCACCAGAAGCTGATGGAAGTCTTTGAGTCGTGGAGTTAAAGCAGCTAATGTAGCACTAACACCTGTAAAACATAACAGAATACCTTGCTAAATTCAGGAAAAGAAAACCTTTAATGAAAAATGTAAAAAGTGTAGTTTAGGTAAGTTTGATAAGAAATCATTCTTTTGTCAAGTTTTCAGTTTCAGGACTAGGTAGAAACTGAAACTGATCCATACAATTTATTAATAAAAATTATAATAAAATGAAATCAAATGCTAAACTTACATGTATTTTTCAACCCTCGTAAAATTTCTTTTATAAACAGAACACTTAAAGGAAGACTAAATTTTTTTCTCTACCTTGTGCAAGTCTTTCTGCATCCAAGGGAGTCATTGGTTCTTCTCCCTCTCCACTATGGGAAAAACAATAAATCATTGGTTAATAACAGATGTGATTTTAATGGCAGCAAAAATATCATGTGCAAAAGCCAGGTTACAATTTTTGCCTTGAGCAAAAGAAACAAGCAGCTTACAAGTGTGAAAAGAGATAAAATCACACCTTCCTTTCCTGACTTCCAACAGTGTGAGTAGAACAGAGATTCCATTGACGAGTGCTACATCGGGATGAAGTTGAGCATCATGAAGCATATGATCTAATAACTCTGACACTGTCTCTCTCCTAAACAGAAACAGAAAGCAACATTAAACAATTGCAAATCAATATAATTAAGCAAAACTGACAGCCTGCTTTGACAAGTTTAGGAGACTATTCAAGGGTAAGAGGTTAGAGGCTCTTTAATTAAAGGTTTTCCCAAAGGTTTTCTACATCTAAGAAAGGGGTTACATCAAGGGGCAGGCACCGGGCAAATTGATCGGCTGTGGGGACAATTTTTCCTGGCTAATTTGACCATCTAGTGGTAAGTTTTTCTTACAAAGAAGTTCAGTTCTAATGGTTTAGCCTGCCTGTAAAAACCAGTCACCCTCCTGCTGAAAACGTTAATGAAACCCCTGCTAGGACAGTAATTTTCACATTGAGACCAGAAGTAGTGGAGCCACCTAATTAGCATGTTGAACTCTGGATTGAAAGGCCTTGGTTTACATGTATGTCACCTGGCTGGTGTCACTGTGGTGTGTTCTAGGGTGAGACAACTAACTAATCACTGCACCTCTCTTCACCCAGGAGAATAACAAAATTAAATGGGAACACGCCTGGTAGCTGCAACTCATTAGAATAATCTGCAAGTGGGAGCAGCATTACATGTACTTCTAGTTGTTTTGTAACACAGAAACTGCCATAAGAAATTATGCAACATCAGGCTTAGGACTTCAGTCCAATCCCCAAAATTGGAACAAACGAGAGGGAATTAGTCAACTCAATTAAACATAATAATACCTTTGAACTGCATCTAGCAAAGGATCTTGATCAGCATTCTCTTGGAGTTGTGACATGTGATCTCTACTGAGACGGATTACATCACACAGGCTTTGTGCAGCATTGCAGCTTCTCTGCAGAAACAAATCAAAGTAGCTCTGTTGGAGTTTGGTTTCACTTCACATAAGAACAGTTTCAAATTTTTCCACAGTGCAGTCAGTCCAAAAAGAGGCAAGGAATACCAGTCAGATAAATGATACAGAAGATAGAAAATAATAACAAGTGTAACACCTGTTAACTCACCCAAATTACATGAATTTAATAATAAATTAATTAATAAACAAATAAATTAACTAATTAAAAGAAGTTAATACTTATTTAAGAAGCCATTTCCTGATGAGAGCAAAAGAAAAGGATAGTGAACTAACCTCTTCATCAATTTCAGGGTCAATTAAAGAGACCAAACTCTCCACTAGTTTTTGACCATTTAACCACTGCAATACAAAGAATAATAACGTAAACACACTGCAAAACACTAATTTTATGATAACTGCAGAAATTCTCACACGGTTATTGGCTAATAATTTTTGTTGTCAATATGCAGACAGACACATGAATTTATAATTTATGCGATGCATCAACGAGCAAGAGTGGACAATTCTTGACAATTTGTTACCCTAAAAAACAAATTGACATCAGTTTTTCATGCCTCTGTCCTGTCGATCCACAGCAACTTTGACAATGTTATGACGAAATTCATTGTCAATAACAGGACAGATGCATGAAAAGCTGATATCAATTTGTTAAACAGAACAAATATTAGGAATGTTCAATAAGCAGATTTCATTATGAAAGTGTCTGTTTACATGTAGAACTTATAGATGCACAAATGACATCAATATCATTTCTATAAGATTGGAAAAAGTAGCATAAGTTGAATGGGTCACTCAAAAGCCCAGTTCAAAATTTAAGTGCAATGTCAAAATAAAAGCAAGGGAATTACAAATAGTGAGCTTTACCTCAAGTAAGTCTTGCCGCAGTTGTGGAGACTCCACGCTGGTAATTAACCGAAGGAGTAAGTCCATGACGGCAGATGTCCCAAGGTGTTTCACAATGGCATTGACAAAATCTTCTTTACTTTTTAAGTACTCTAACATCTACAAAAAATAACATTGGAAACCTCTGAACCAAATGAATAACAAAACAATTTTTTTTTACTTTTTACACAGAAGTTACAAACATACTTACCAAAGATGTTTTCCTACTTATAAGAACGCCCATAACTTTACTGAAAAAACTGAAAGAAAGAGACTTGATGTTAAAAATAGGTATGAGTAGTTAAATCTGATAACACTTAAACCTTAAAACTTACCTTTTCACAAGAGCTTCTGAGTAAATTTTAGCAAAAGAATATTTATTTATTCTATATGGGACTTTATAGGGTTTGCAATTGTATAGCACTGATCATAAGCATTTTTCAAAATGGGGCCCTTGAAATTTGTAAGTTATTTTGAATTCATTGTTTTCTTAAGGGTTTGAGTCTTGCAAATGAGTCACAATCTTTTTCTCCATTGTGCCATAAAATATGGGTAGGTTAGTTCCAATGTTTATTGTGTAAATGATAATAAATTATTGTTGATTAGCATCTTATCCAACAGGGGTAGCAAAACTCCTTGAAGTTTCATGCAACAGAAATCACAGTCACCCCACCTTTCCATAACACATCCTCAATCATCAATAATATTATTGCATTTTTAACCACCAGCAATCATCCTACTGGAGCTCTTAGGAAACAAAAATCAAGTTTAACAGCTGGCTCAAAAATTATGTCTGTGGGTTGTCAATGGTTCGTTTTGATCCACTTTGTTTGCTGCTTTTTTCAAGATTTGTTGACTGTCACTGTAATTAAGATTGCACCTTACCGAAAGACACAGTAATAATAGCAACTGGAAAGTATTTAGTAGCTTTGGAGTAAGCAGTTTCTCACCTTGCTAGCAGAGGATTAAGGGGGGGTTCAGATTCCATAAATGACCAAATTTTGTTGAGTAGATCCTGTAATAAGAACAACATGGTGGAAGAACTGTAAATAGGGTCTTCATAACATTTATCAGACAAATGTTGCAGAAGCTAACAGCCACACCACTGTGCTTGAACTAAACAGATCTGTGTTACATTGGTGAACCTATGATACTTTTGCCAATGTTAAATGTGACCCTTGTTGACTGCCATAGTAGATGAAAATGTTTAGATGCAGGAAAAAAACTATTGTAGTAATCTAGGAATCAGTGCAGACCTCAGATGTGACTCACTAAAGTTATAGATACTTCAACAATGACTAGTGGCCTGAGAGTTCCATGAAAGGCAATCTTCCATGGTTTGTCACTTATCTTTGAACTGAGATAACGTGAAAATGAAACTTGCAGGATATAAAGGACAGAATGAGGATAAGGATCATAGAATGAAGCTCCCACCCATCAGGGAATGCCAAAACAGGACGCAATCAGAGCACTCTCAGAGGCAATCTCGATAATAACTGGTAACTCTCAGAATGGAGCACATATCTGAGAAAATCACAAGGCTGCAAAGAAATTTAAATATAATTGTGTTTTACCCTTTGATACATAAATATACTCCTGTGTAAAAACCAAGCCCAATTCAGCTTGGCATAGCACTGACATATACCTCATTGTTTGTTAGCTTGTCAATTATTGCGTATACGTCTGCTGTTAACACTTCACAAGCCATGTTGGGATGTCTGAAGCAAAGAACAAGTTTGCATCACATTAGGGTACACAGCTTGGAAAGGTGACAAAGAAAATAGCGGTCATGCTTTATTCCACATAAATTTAACTTGCACTGTCAGAGGTTATCCCAGTTTATATAGAGCATGAAGAAACAAGTGTACGGCCACTCCGCCAGGTTAGACAAGCTTTTCATTAGGTCGTCTACTGGTAACCATTCATACTATGGAGAGGAGAGAGGCACTTCAAGAGTTGAGTTGCCAGAGTGCACACCGGCGTGTGCAACCTTAAACTGCTCTATCTGGCAGGCATATACCTCATCTAGAACTTCATATATCTAGTTTGACAAAACAAATTTGAAACTGGGATCTGCAGAAATCAAGAATATACATCAAACTAGTTCTAATCTCTGTTTATATACCAGATCCTCATCCATGCATGTCATGAACTCTTATCACTAATAATTAATTTCCCTCAGGGATGCACTACATGGTCTGCATAAATAACCCTTAACACTGCCTACCAACAGTAACACTGTAGAAATTAGTCAAAGTGCCCTGTTATCCAATACCCCCAGGGGGTGATGGAAAAACAGCAAAGTCCTGATATATCTTCACACATATCACACAGTGCCCTGACTCACTTGTATTTGAGACATTCCTCTTTACTTTCATCTGGTGGTTGTAGAACTAGGTTTACTAGTTCCTCTAAGATCTCTGGTCTAATAAAACTGAGAAATCAAGCCAAAAATTAATGAATAAATCATGTACTTCCAGTGTAAACAAATTACCTTCCAAACAGCTTGATCTCCTCTTTCTTAAACATGTGGACCTATATCTGTACTGTTGTAAGATTTTGTGACATCAAAAGTTGATCGAGTTCAAATTTCCATAATATATATACAAAAAAATCATTCTTCTATTCTTCTCCTTGTATTATAGAAACATTCTGATAATAAGCACCTCCTGTCCCCCTCCCCTCTCACTGAAAGAAAGTAAAAAAAAGTCCTATCTGTAACAGACCCTCTCCCTCTCCCCTGAGTAATTATAAGTTTCAGATTTAACTCAACTGGATAATAAAAACTGTTCTAATATCAACAGGACATCTACTGCTGCCTCATTTTCAGAGACCATTGCATTTCATTAGAAAAGAGGCTACATGTGAAAATGGTTTTCACAGATAATTTATCCATACCCATAATATAATCCATAATATCCATAATAGAAGCCTAAGTACAAGGAAGCCTTTCGCATGCAACATTTCTTCTGTATGTTTATGTGTATTGTAATAGTATACTCAGACACTTTTAGATGTGCTTTTGAATTTGTTTGCATTTGACTTCACTGTGCTGAGTGTTTGACCATGCAATATTGTTATCATGTTATCTTATGTTACTCAGATGTAAAATTGCTTCTAAAGATTGGCCAAACCATTTTTGCAACACTAAACTACCTCTGATAAGTTCCTCAGGAATAAACCTTCCTTAAACTAAAGCCAGAAAAAAACCTTTAAAACAAAATAAGCCTTAGAACTCATAACTTGAATTTTACAGGTCAAACACTAACAGTAACATTGCATCACATTCCTGTTTGGGTGGTCAAAATGGACTGAAACAGAATCTTGTAGCTAGACTGAATTAGAAACTTCTGCTCTTTGATCGCTACTGTGACAGTGTCGTTGTAATTTGAAGATTAACAAATCATATGCAAGATATGTATGAACATGCACTGTGAGTTGTTTTAATTTTGTTCGATGTGGTGTCCATCATCACTAGCAAAGAATCCAAGTGAAGCAAATTGAAGTTGGTTACAATGTTATGGGAGGGATGCAAATCAAGACCTCAGGGACATTCAAAAACAACAAAAAAGAAAGATTCATTATAAATGGGGCATTTTAATGCAAACAGGCACGCATCATTTAGGTACAAATCACCTGAAGCCCCCCCCAAAAAAGCATTTCTCCACAAATCATACCACAAATAGCACTGGACATACCAAGTACGCACATTGTATAACTAACATCTGGGATAGAGTTAATCTTTAAGCCACCGAGAGAGGTGTGATCGAGGACGATTTTAATGCAGGGTAGTTTAAATTTGCTTACGATTTCTTGCGTCAATGTAGGGATGTAAGCTTGTTGAAACGTTTGCAATCAATATCACGCAAACTTCCCAATTTCCTCTTAACCAAATTAGCTATGATTTCCCTTCCTCCTCCCCTGATGAAGTTAATCTACAGTGGTATGGTTTTCCGAGGCGAACAATTTATTTTTCATTTGATTCCTTCCAAATGTATGACTGTCTAAAAACGACTTTAAGGAGTTTTGGCTGAACGAAAAACGTATTGACTGGAAAATTAAAATATAGGCTTATACGAGGCTTACTCAAACACTCTCTACAAAAACATAGCGAGATCTTTGGCCTGTTAATAGCGGTCAATGTTACTATATTGAAACGTTACTGACTTGGAAATCAACATAATTTTTTAGACGACCAGAAATTTCTACTTACAAGTCCACCAACTTTCTATTTTGTGATTTCGTCTCTTGCAGAACGTCATCTTCATCCAATATTTCGCTCAAAGTGCAGTCCTGGTAATTGAATTTAAACATATTTCGTTTGGGATAAAATTCAGAGGCAATCGTTTAGGTTAACTCGAAACACCTATATATGACTGAGTGAAAACGCATGCATACAGACAGACTCACCTCTCTTGTTAACATAGTATCTATAGCAGAGCTAGGGTGCAAGTCGAATTTCCAAAACATTTTGCGTCGTTCTTGTATATATTCCTCCTCACGATTCTGGAAATAGGTCTTATAAAGACCAAATAAGCTAAAATATAAGCGTTTGCATGAGATTTCTCAAGTGTAGCAGAATGAAAACTTCTTGTTTGAGCCCATCCACGATCCACGAAGTCCTGTAACAACTTTCGCTTCGCACTGCTGAGCTGGCCGTAAAGATGGCGGCTTTAACTGTTTCGACGGGTTATAACCGCCATAATTTTCACCATGCAAACTGCTTACTTTCCCAGCTTACGAACGTTCCACTATAAAACCAAAACCTCAACTGAACATGAAATCCACCACTATTTCCAAGAGACTGTTGGCTGTCGTGACCGCATGCGCTCGAAATACTTTGTTTCACATAACATGAACTGATAGTCTTATACCACCATTAATAAGCTGGAAATGTCAGGGACGTTTCTCTGTTATAGAGGAGGTAATCGACGGAAACGTTCGGAAGAATGTATGTTAGTCTAACGGCGGGAAACGAGTTCACTCAGCTTTACAATGGAGCAAGAATATAGAAGGAAAATGGAAATGAGTCTTATGGACCATAATATGTTTCGCAGTTTGAGCACGTGATTTTCATATTCAAGATGGCCGCCAAAGGAGATTACAGGCCACAAGCACCCACCCTTCCCAAGCCNCAATATCATTTCTATAAGATTGGAAAAAGTAGCATAAGTTGAATGGGTCACTCAAAAGCCCAGTTCAAAATTTAAGTGCAATGTCAAAATAAAAGCAAGGGAATTACAAATAGTGAGCTTTACCTCAAGTAAGTCTTGCCGCAGTTGTGGAGACTCCACGCTGGTAATTAACCGAAGGAGTAAGTCCATGACGGCAGATGTCCCAAGGTGTTTCACAATGGCATTGACAAAATCTTCTTTACTTTTTAAGTACTCTAACATCTACAAAAAATAACATTGGAAACCTCTGAACCAAATGAATAACAAAACAATTTTTTTTTACTTTTTACACAGAAGTTACAAACATACTTACCAAAGATGTTTTCCTACTTATAAGAACGCCCATAACTTTACTGAAAAAACTGAAAGAAAGAGACTTGATGTTAAAAATAGGTATGAGTAGTTAAATCTGATAACACTTAAACCTTAAAACTTACCTTTTCACAAGAGCTTCTGAGTAAATTTTAGCAAAAGAATATTTATTTATTCTATATGGGACTTTATAGGGTTTGCAATTGTATAGCACTGATCATAAGCATTTTTCAAAATGGGGCCCTTGAAATTTGTAAGTTATTTTGAATTCATTGTTTTCTTAAGGGTTTGAGTCTTGCAAATGAGTCACAATCTTTTTCTCCATTGTGCCATAAAATATGGGTAGGTTAGTTCCAATGTTTATTGTGTAAATGATAATAAATTATTGTTGATTAGCATCTTATCCAACAGGGGTAGCAAAACTCCTTGAAGTTTCATGCAACAGAAATCACAGTCACCCCACCTTTCCATAACACATCCTCAATCATCAATAATATTATTGCATTTTTAACCACCAGCAATCATCCTACTGGAGCTCTTAGGAAACAAAAATCAAGTTTAACAGCTGGCTCAAAACTTATGTCTGTGGGTTGTCAATGGTTCGTTTTGATCCACTTTGTTTGCTGCTTTTTTCAAGATTTGTTGACTGTCACTGTAATTAAGATTGCACCTTACCGAAAGACACAGTAATAATAGCAACTGGAAAGTATTTAGTAGCTTTGGAGTAAGCAGTTTCTCACCTTGCTAGCAGAGGATTAAGGGGGGGTTCAGATTCCATAAATGACCAAATTTTGTTGAGTAGATCCTGTAATAAGAACAACATGGTGGAAGAACTGTAAATAGGGTCTTCATAACATTTATCAGACAAATGTTGCAGAAGCTAACAGCCACACCACTGTGCTTGAACTAAACAGATCTGTGTTACATTGGTGAACCTATGATACTTTTGCCAATGTTAAATGTGACCCTTGTTGACTGCCATAGTAGATGAAAATGTTTAGATGCAGGAAAAAAACTATTGTAGTAATCTAGGAATCAGTGCAGACCTCAGATGTGACTCACTAAAGTTATAGATACTTCAACAATGACTAGTGGCCTGAGAGTTCCATGAAAGGCAATCTTCCATGGTTTGTCACTTATCTTTGAACTGAGATAACGTGAAAATGAAACTTGCAGGATATAAAGGACAGAATGAGGATAAGGATCATAGAATGAAGCTCCCACCCATCAGGGAATGCCAAAACAGGACGCAATCAGAGCACTCTCAGAGGCAATCTCGATAATAACTGGTAACTCTCAGAATGGAGCACATATCTGAGAAAATCACAAGGCTGCAAAGAAATTTAAATATAATTGTGTTTTACCCTTTGATACATAAATATACTCCTGTGTAAAAACCAAGCCCAATTCAGCTTGGCATAGCACTGACATATACCTCATTGTTTGTTAGCTTGTCAATTATTGCGTATACGTCTGCTGTTAACACTTCACAAGCCATGTTGGGATGTCTGAAGCAAAGAACAAGTTTGCATCACATTAGGGTACACAGCTTGGAAAGGTGACAAAGAAAATAGCGGTCATGCTTTATTCCACATAAATTTAACTTGCACTGTCAGAGGTTATCCCAGTTTATATAGAGCATGAAGAAACAAGTGTACGGCCACTCCGCCAGGTTAGACAAGCTTTTCATTAGGTCGTCTACTGGTAACCATTCATACTATGGAGAGGAGAGAGGCACTTCAAGAGTTGAGTTGCCAGAGTGCACACCGGCGTGTGCAACCTTAAACTGCTCTATCTGGCAGGCATATACCTCATCTAGAACTTCATATATCTAGTTTGACAAAACAAATTTGAAACTGGGATCTGCAGAAATCAAGAATATACATCAAACTAGTTCTAATCTCTGTTTATATACCAGATCCTCATCCATGCATGTCATGAACTCTTATCACTAATAATTAATTTCCCTCAGGGATGCACTACATGGTCTGCATAAATAACCCTTAACACTGCCTACCAACAGTAACACTGTAGAAATTAGTCAAAGTGCCCTGTTATCCAATACCCCCAGGGGGTGATGGAAAAACAGCAAAGTCCTGATATATCTTCACACATATCACACAGTGCCCTGACTCACTTGTATTTGAGACATTCCTCTTTACTTTCATCTGGTGGTTGTAGAACTAGGTTTACTAGTTCCTCTAAGATCTCTGGTCTAATAAAACTGAGAAATCAAGCCAAAAATTAATGAATAAATCATGTACTTCCAGTGTAAACAAATTACCTTCCAAACAGCTTGATCTCCTCTTTCTTAAACATGTGGACCTATATCTGTACTGTTGTAAGATTTTGTGACATCAAAAGTTGATCGAGTTCAAATTTCCATAATATATATATAAAAAAATCATTCTTCTATTCTTCTCCTTGTATTATAGAAACATTCTGATAATAAGCACCTCCTGTCCCCCTCCCCTCTCACTGAAAGAAAGTAAAAAAAAGTCCTATCTGTAACAGACCCTCTCCCTCTCCCCTGAGTAATTATAAGTTTCAGATTTAACTCAACTGGATAATAAAAACTGTTCTAATATCAACAGGACATCTACTGCTGCCTCATTTTCAGAGACCATTGCATTTCATTAGAAAAGAGGCTACATGTGAAAATGGTTTTCACAGATAATTTATCCATACCCATAATATAATCCATAATATCCATAATAGAAGCCTAAGTACAAGGAAGCCTTTCGCATGCAACATTTCTTCTGTATGTTTATGTGTATTGTAACAGTATACTCAGACACTTTTAGATGTGCTTTTGAATTTGTTTGCATTTGACTTCACTGTGCTGAGTGTTTGACCATGCAATATTGTTATCATGTTATCTTATGTTACTCAGATGTAAAATTGCTTCTAAAGATTGGCCAAACCATTTTTGCAACACTAAACTACCTCTGATAAGTTCCTCAGGAATAAACCTTCCTTAAACTAAAGCCAGAAAAAAACCTTTAAAACAAAATAAGCCTTAGAACTCATAACTTGAATTTTACAGGTCAAACACTAACAGTAACATTGCATCACATTCCTGTTTGGGTGGTCAAAATGGACTGAAACAGAATCTTGTAGCTAGACTGAATTAGAAACTTCTGCTCTTTGATCGCTACTGTGACAGTGTCGTTGTAATTTGAAGATTAACAAATCATATGCAAGATATGTATGAACATGCACTGTGAGTTGTTTTAATTTTGTTCGATGTGGTGTCCATCATCACTAGCAAAAATCCAAGTGAAGCAAATTGAAGTTGGTTACAATGTTATGAGAGGGACGCAAATCAAGACCTCAGGGACATTCAAAAACAACAAAAAAGAAAGATTCATTATAAATGGGGCATTTTAATGNTCGATGTGGTGTCCATCATCACTAGCAAAGAATCCAAGTGAAGCAAATTGAAGTTGGTTACAATGTTATGGGAGGGATGCAAATCAAGACCTCAGGGACATTCAAAAACAACAAAAAAGAAAGATTCATTATAAATGGGGCATTTTAATGCAAACAGGCACGCATCATTTAGGTACAAATCACCTGAAGCCCCCCCCAAAAAAGCATTTCTCCACAAATCATACCACAAATAGCACTGGACATACCAAGTACGCACATTGTATAACTAACATCTGGGATAGAGTTAATCTTTAAGCCACCGAGAGAGGTGTGATCGAGGACGATTTTAATGCAGGGTAGTTTAAATTTGCTTACGATTTCTTGCGTCAATGTAGGGATGTAAGCTTGTTGAAACGTTTGCAATCAATATCACGCAAACTTCCCAATTTCCTCTTAACCAAATTAGCTATGATTTCCCTTCCTCCTCCCCTGATGAAGTTAATCTACAGTGGTATGGTTTTCCGAGGCGAACAATTTATTTTTCATTTGATTCCTTCCAAATGTATGACTGTCTAAAAACGACTTTAAGGAGTTTTGGCTGAACGAAAAACGTATTGACTGGAAAATTAAAATATAGGCTTATACGAGGCTTACTCAAACACTCTCTACAAAAACATAGCGAGATCTTTGGCCTGTTAATAGCGGTCAATGTTACTATATTGAAACGTTACTGACTTGGAAATCAACATAATTTTTTAGACGACCAGAAATTTCTACTTACAAGTCCACCAACTTTCTATTTTGTGATTTCGTCTCTTGCAGAACGTCATCTTCATCCAATATTTCGCTCAAAGTGCAGTCCTGGTAATTGAATTTAAACATATTTCGTTTGGGATAAAATTCAGAGGCAATCGTTTAGGTTAACTCGAAACGCCTATATATGACTGAGTGAAAACGCATGCATACAGACAGACTCACCTCTCTTGTTAACATAGTATCTATAGCAGAGCTAGGGTGCAAGTCGAATTTCCAAAACATTTTGCGTCGTTCTTGTATATATTCCTCCTCACGATTCTGGAAATAGGTCTTATAAAGACCAAATAAGCTAAAATATAAGCGTTTGCATGAGATTTCTCAAGTGTAGCAGAATGAAAACTTCTTGTTTGAGCCCATCCACGATCCACGAAGTCCTGTAACAACTTTCGCTTCGCACTGCTGAGCTGGCCGTAAAGATGGCGGCTTTAACTGTTTCGACGGGTTATAACCGCCATAATTTTCACCATGCAAACTGCTTACTTTCCCAGCTTACGAACGTTCCACTGTAAAACCAAAACCTCAACTGAACATGAAATCCACCACTATTTCCAAGAGACTGTTGGCTGTCGTGACCGCATGCGCTCGAAATACTTTGTTTCACATAACATGAACTGATAGTCTTATACCACCATTAATAAGCTGGAAATGTCAGGGACGTTTCTCTGTTATAGAGGAGGTAATCGACGGAAACGTTCGGAAGAATGTATGTTAGTCTAACGGCGGGAAACGAGTTCACTCAGCTTTACAATGGAGCAAGAATATAGAAGGAAAATGGAAATGAGTCTTATGGACCATAATATGTTTCGCAGTTTGAGCACGTGATTTTCATATTCAAGATGGCCGCCAAAGGAGATTACAGGCCACAAGCACCCACCCTTCCCAAGCCATCCTCCTTCCCCAGTGGTTTCTTCAATTCTCGCAAAAACTCCCCCACAGCTAGCTCCGTCTCCGAAACAAAAAACTCGCACCTGAAATTTCCTCAGCGACGCGGACTTCAAGCTCTCCAAGGGGGGCTTACACCAGATTTCAAGTGAAGGGGATGAACTAAGGTTTTTGGGGGTGTTAAAATTTTCGTTTCCGGTATTTTTATGGAAGGAAAATTTGACAAGTATTTTTTGGGGTGGCTTGATTTAAGTAGGGATTTTTGGGGATATTCAGAACAATACGAATAATTAAGATTCTTGGTAGTGATCCGGCCGCGTAGTTCTGCGATTAAAGTACTCTGGCTTCCAGGTGTACAACCAAACTTGTTTTACGCTCGTTATATATTTAAAGACGGTGCCGCATTACATTGCATCTGTTTTGGCATGGGATTTTCTTGGTGTTTATTTTTGGTCCAGGGACTTTTTTAGGGGGGATTCATTTTGGAAGCCCTAGGGATTTTGGGGGGTTTTGATATTTGCCCGGCCTATTCGATCATCCCCGAGTACCCCGCCCCCACCCGCGAGACACAGGAAGACAGATTGGGAGTAATTAAGGAGAGAGGGCGGGAAGTGGGATTCCCACGGTAACTGGGTTCGGGAAAACTGGGAGGAAAATTTGCAATATTACTCAATCAAGAGACGTTGATCACCGTCTCTTGGCTCTAGGGCAAGGAGCCTTTCGAACAGTTCGTCAGGATTTTTAGATCCCCTATCTCCCCGATCTCTCAAATGGTCCGGATTCATGGCCTGGCTGGGACAAGCGTTCCCTAAACAGTGCCTGTCTCCACCCAGAAGAAAGATTGGAAGAAAATGTTTCCAAGTATGAAGGTCTCTTGGAAGGTTTTAACGTACTACTGAAGTCAGGAGATATTACCATGGTATTCATTTCGGAAACCTGCGACTGGCATCATTAGTCAGCTCTGACGTTGTCTGACGTAGAACCCTCGGGGGAATTGATAGACAACCAGGCAGGGTTTATGAAGGACTTAGATGAATTAGAGTCTGTTATTTGGCTGGTTGTAAATGTCGGGAAATTATATGCAGCATAGTGTAGGAGAGCCTCTGTCGTACCGCTTTGTCCTAGGAGCCTGGAACTGGTTAGTCGAATGTTAACTCTGCAGTTTTCCGGTATTACGCCTTAGCCCTCCTCAGAAAAACAGCCTCCCTTTATCAATCCAAGTTACAATTTTTTATAGTCAGTTTGAGTCTTGTACTGGTAGCTTTTAGCTGCTTTATGAAAAAAGTTAAACAAAAACTTTTTGTCAGTTACCATTTATACATTGGCAAGATCAAGGGTGACTAACGAAATCAGCGGACAATCGTAAGTAAGCACGATTATTTGCAACTTTCAGTTGGAAATGTTCGAACTAACCCTATATCGAATACCCCTGCTGAATAACGAGTATCGCGGAAAGCGCAAAACATGATTAACAATAGCGGAGCGATATGTACACGCTTGTCCATTTTCCAAATAAGTTTATTTTAGAAATCTACGTACTGGAGTCTTCCTTCCCGTTATTAGCAAATCTGACTACATTTGGACCTATCAGATATACAAAGATGCAAGCGTGTTACAACTCCACTGCCTTTTTCTTCTCTGCTAGCCGGTCATAATTAGCCTGAGTTGCATTCCCCGGTCTCCCTCCCCCTTCTACCGTGTTACACATGTAAAGCATTTGTAATCTCGTGTTATGTATCATCACGTGGCACAAAGGTTGNTGCAGTTTTCCGGTATTACGCCTTAGCCCTCCTCAGAAAAACAGCCTCCCTTTATCAATCCAAGTTACAACTTTTTATAGCCAGTTTGAGTCTGTTACAGGTATCTTTTAGCTGCGTTATGAAAAAAGTTAAACGCAAACTTTTTGTAACCATTTATACATTGACAAGATCAAGAGTGATTAACGAAATCAGCGGACAATCGTAAGTAAGCACGATTATTTGCAACTTTCAGTTGGAAATGTTTGAATTAACTCTATATCAAATACCTGTCCTGATTAACGAGCATACCTGCCAACCCCAGAGTACAAAAACCTGGAGACGGCTAGAAATCTTGCCAATTTTGTACCATGTATTCTGCAATTTGATTGGTTGATTTCTGACCAGTTAGGATACTCGTTAAATATATATCAATTTGATTGTTCTGT